TGGGAAACCGAGAACTCCCATTTTCTGTCACCAGTGTCACCCAGACGAGATTCTCCATGACCTTAGACACTTACAGTGACTGACAAAAGGAAAGCAGGCCGTACGTGCTCTGCTTGCGGAGGACATGGCTGATCGGGGAGTGAGAGTAAGTGAACCAGGCGAGGGACGATCCTTGTGCAAGGAGTGGGAACGTGCCTCACCAAAACACCCTTGAAGCACGAGGGCCTGGTGGAACTGCGCCATTTCCCTGCTTACCTGTGGTGAGAAACGATCACCTCTGTGTAAGGAACAGCCAGTGGCAGATGGACTCTTGGTCTATCTGTGCTCTAGTCCCTTTGGGCAAGGCGAGGACTAGGGCATGACCATTGTCACTGCGGGTCAGAGGAAGCACTGGCTTGATCTTGGCTGAGGCCTAGCATGGATCTAGCACAAGGTCTCTTGCCCGAAGAGGAGGGTCGATACAAAGGTCAATTGCCCACTGCAGCTTCTCTTGAATATAGAAGACCAACCCTCTCCCCTCCGCCTTTTAGATGAAGACAGGAAGGTTAAGTGAAACAGAAGAGAGCCAGTTCAGGCCTAGTTTGGACATAATAAATCATGGCATATGTAACTCACGATTTGTTGCCCTTTCCAGGGTTTCTCTGGCAAACCATAACACAAACCATGGTTTGGCTTCTCCATCCCTGGGTCATTGCTTCCCCCAACCCTCCTCATCTTTTCCGTTGTAATCCAAATGTTTTTGTGGTGCCAGAGTAGTGGTACACAGAACTGATTTCTTTGACCAATCCTTCCAGCTGCCATTGTAGCCTGGCAAGACAACTTATGAAGAACCTACAGTTCTGGGTTCACACAATGACAACCCATGGTTTAAACAATCCAAGGATTAAACCCAACAACAACAATGAATTCTCTTTCTGTGTTGTCTGTGCTTAGCAAGCCATCATTTGTTAGCGTTGCCATGTTCCTTCATTATAACAACCCAGAATTCAGCAACTCACCCCTTAGGTTGGCATTACATGTGAACCAGGCCTAACCCTGCATTTCTGTAGTACCCTGTGGGGGCTATACTTCAAAATTCTCTGTCTTCCCTTCAGGAGTTTAAGGCCGAGTGCCACAAAGGCAGCCACACTGCCCCATGTTGTGTCTCCAAGGCACAGAGCTATGTCAGCTACCTCTGGAGAAGGGGAGAGGGACAGCTGATTAGAACAGGCCATGGGGCCCGTCCACTCAGCAGTTCGCTGCAAAACTGACACACTGATGTCAAAAATATGCATTTAACTACATCCCTCAGAAAGCGCATCTCGACATTTAGAGGTAACAAACCAGTACATGGCACCTCACTCCCCGAGTACTAGCATTTCAGCACTCTGAAGACCTGGAAAAGCCATGTGATATGATTTTGACACCCAGGTACAACTGGTGCCATCAGTTACTAGACCATAAACATGCATACGCATGTGACTCTTGGCAAGCACATGCATGCAACTTAACACGCATCACTGACCAAAAGGGAAGAAGAAGGGTTTGCTCTTGCACCATCAACTGTAAAACTGAGAAGAGGAGACAGGGTGTTCTTTTATGGTTAAAAAACAATCTGAGAAAACTTTCAACATATAATAAATAATAAAAACAGGAGAAAACATGACACCCCCATGTCATAAAGCCAGCATGGATGCAGAGAGACATTAAGTGTACAGCTCCTACCCACTGTAATAATTGCAATTGCGATGTATAAATATACAGTCCTTCTTCTCCATCTCCATCAAATGGGTGCCCACTGAATTTCAGGGGTTTTTTTAATCCCATAGTGCAGCCACTGTCTTTTCTCTCCCCACCCCCATCCCACCTCCAAACCTCATTAAATTCAGTACCTGGCTACTAGTTTGCCGCAGTTTAAGAAGTGGTAACAGCTGAGGCTTCCTGTAGTTCATGGAACATGGAGTTCTTCTTCAGTGGGATAAGAAAATCTATAGGATTATAGTAGGGGGAATCAAGAACTCCAAGAGGGAAGAAGGGACAGGAATGTGATAAGGGGAAAAGTTTGGAGACAGGTGACATAGGATATAGGAAAGGAAAGTCAGACTGGATGTACTAGAGCATAAGGGCAGAGACTGAGTGCTTCTGCATTCATCTGGAAATAGGATGAGGAACCGTGTGGGTGCCCGCCAAGTGGCTAAGAGCCAGGACTCCAGAATACTCTGGGCCTCTTTGGGATGACAGCCGCTATCTTTATAACCATCGTAGTCACAGACTGAAATAACAAACCTGACCTGAATGCGTGTCACTCTGTGTGTGTGTTTGTGTCATGCTAATGTCTGAGAGTGTGCAACTTTTGCATCTGCCCACATGGCTCCCGCCCTTGATCCAGCGCTCACGGCACGCCTGCTAATTGTTTTGCCGGCCGGCTCATATGACGCCTAACGTATCCAGACCCTTCTGCCAAGATCCCCTTTCCAAGTTTAGGACAGAGCCAGGAAGGTTGGAGAGGTGGGGGCAGGGAGCAGGCAGCTTCCAGAGCGAATGCGTACCCATCACTGCTATAAATACCAGTTGCCTACAACGTAACGGTTTGGTGCTCAATTCCAGCACAGTCAAAGCCTATGGGGAAAGTTAGCGAGGCAAAGAAAACAAACCAGAGCTCTCTCACTTCTTGTCCCAACTCAACAAGAAATCAGATTTGGAATTAGATTTCTAAGAAAATCACAATGTGTTAGTTATGCCTGTTCGATGTTACATACATACATCAACCCTCTTACAGCTTGGAATTAAATGCTCATGTTTGGCTCATTGCTGAATATGTAAATATCAATCAGTACTGCCGCTTCGGAGCACTCTTTCCACACTCTCCCTGCCACAAAAAGTTTGCCAGACTCTCCAGTTCACTGTAACAAGGAATAAACATGTGACATCAAAAACAGGGAGAATTAAACCCCTAACCAAAATGTTCACCAGCCCGTTTCAGCCAAGTTATTACCCTCTTCAGATTTATGGAATCAGTCAGTCTCTCTGGATACAAAGTGCTTCCCAGCTACTGCTAACGGCCAGCAGATGCCTTTTGAATAACGCAAACCACATCACTTGAACAGAAGAAAGAAATGGTTGTACCCTCTATTAGTCTAACTTAAGTCTCATTCATTTCAACAGATCTGCTCTAAGTTGGACCGACACAGGACAGAAGCCAGAGAAGAGCAGCCTTTTAGGTTACAAACAAGTATTTATTCTACTGAATTATTGATCTATCAGTTAGTCCTAATTTTTCATTGGCTAAATAGCTATTTATAAGAATTAATAAATACAAGCGGGGCATGTGTGGTGAGTCATACAACCCAGAAATCAAATCACCTGTCAAAAGGGGTCCTTCAAACATTGTTTTTGTATCCTCTCCCTTCAAACAGCGCACACAATGCAAGGGTTTCCACTATTTTGTGCATTCATTTGATGAACTAGGCACTGGTCCACAAATGCTTTTGCCACAATAAAATAATTAAGTTTCTAAGGAAGGCAAGGGGGAGGGGACAAGATTCTATTGTTGATTTCACTGCAAAAGACAAACAAGGCCACCCTCCTCTGGAATTCACTGTTCTGTTGACCCAGCAAGTTCCAAATGCTAAGCATTCCTCAATCTATGCATTTTGGTGGACTTTTAGATAAAACTCCTAACTGGGTTGATTAACTTCAGATGGTTCTTTCAGCTGCCTTGAATTACCAGTGAAACACATGGAAAAAATGCCCCAAACACTCAACTACAAATACCTTCCTCTTCCATCACAAAAACAGACAACTGCATTCCTAGAATACTTGATATTATTTTGGCCCATAACACAGAGAAATCATTGAACTTTTGTTCCAAATCACAGTTTCGGTTCACTAGGTGACTTATTCAACCATTTCCCTATTACATGCCAGAGCATGGCAGATATATGGATGCAGGTGTCACATGCAATCACATTATCTTCCAAGATTTTTCTTCCTTCTGAGAACAGCAGTACAAGATGGGAAAGGTAGGTAGGAAGCCTCCATTCATGAGCTACCTTGGAGTCCACAACCAAGCTGACTATTCCAAGAATCCCAGGCGCATGGGTGTTATAGCCCTTTATTCTGATATACCCACCTGCAATGCCATTCTCCTTTGTCATTCCAAACCTCTCCCGATTAAGGCCATTTCATAACAGTCGATTTTTTTAACATTAACAGTTTTCATTCCAGTAATCAAGCCTCACCCACTAGACATGCTGACCTATCAGCGATGCCCAAAGAAAATGAGAGGCCTTTGCAGTACTGTAAGCATTTTTCCTTGGCAGAAACTGTTACCATCACCCCTTCATAGCTGCAGCATTTTTCACTCTACTGGGTCACAGCCTCAGGGATGTAGAAGGACTGTAGACCTATACCTGGGCAAAGCCCAGTAAGGGGTGTAGGAAAGGGACAGAGAAGGAAGAAAAGCATCCAAAAGAGCCTCACACAAATTCAGCAGCTGACACTCTCTGAATGGGCGGCCAAGGAGACAGAAGACAAGAGGCTAGGGTGGCTAAAGAGGTAAAGGAATGAAGAGCAGAAGTTCAGGAATGTAACACCAGACCTCTATCTAGACAAATGGGGTAGCGGAAGACAGGTGCATATATCATCGGAAGCACATCAAAAGCAGCAGAAGCAGAAATAGGCAATAGGAGACGGGGTGGTGCTGATTTGGAGTTTAGGGGAATGAACAAAATATAATTTACGCGTATTCCTCCCCCTCCCGCCTACGCTGCCATGCCGAATGCCACCTTTCCTCTCATTTCCAGGATTTAAGCAAGATCGCCCCAGCTGACTGAAACGGATCACACCTCCGCATCAACGATTTAGGCCATGTCATGATCAATGCAAATTATGTGGACCTCCGGAGCCTTTCTGCCCCTTCTGCTCTCTTGGAAGAGACCCCTTATTGGAGAGAGACTAAAGCAGGGACAAGGACAGTCCAGACAGAAAGAGAAAAGGGCCCTGCACAAGCTATACGGTACCTTTGCAGAAACTGGAACGGGAGAGCAACGTTGACGCCTCCAAGGCCCAACCGCAACTGAGCTGCCACTAGAAAGGGGGAGGAGTCCGGGTGACGTGACCACGCCCACACCGACCAATCACAGAAAAGAGGGAGCGGCGCTGGGTCCGCCGGTGGGAGAAATCTGGTTGCAAGATAAAGATAGGCTGAAGAGAGCACTCACACCCTCGCTTGAGGGTGGGGGAATACAGCGAGTGACAAGAGAGCTCGCCAATCAGAAGCAGCAGAGCGCCTGGGTTCTTTTGGAAGCTGAATGGGCTTCTTTGTGTGTGGACAGATCGTGAGAGGATGGAAGGATGGAGGGGGGAGTGAAGGATGAATGAGGTCTATTGTCTGCGGGGAGGGAGATTGGGATTACGTCAGAGGTTAGACCTCCCCCCCGCAAGCCTCTCCCGTCCCCACCTCAAAGAGTTGTGTCTCTCCCGTCCCAACTTTCCTAATGGACCCTCCCAGGCAACGCAGAGGACTGGGCTCCCTCCCTCCTTTCCTCAACCCACAAGGCTGAGGGATTCCCAAAAATTGCACTTTTGATGGAGAAAGCGGTTGTGCTGCTTCCAGAGAATAATAAAAGGGCTTCCTGGAAGAGCCCCTCTGCCTGTGGATGAGGCTGCCTGTTGGCTCTCTGGATGAGTCGAAGTCTTGCCCCCCATCCTTCCTGCTAACCTCCGTTCAGGGGTGCAGGGTGCAGCGGGCTCACGGAGAGCTGTCAGGAGAATGGAATGCCTTCCGTGGCAGCTGCAGTGTGCCAGCACTGGGGTTCTGTCCAGCAGGGCTGGCTCCGGGTTTCTGAGGGCCACTGGGCAATCTGCCCTCCATAGGCCTACCTGCAGGCTTCTGCCTTGGCACCACCACTGTCATCAGCAGCTCTCCATCCTTTTTCTCAAGGCCTCCCACTTGCTTGCTTGACATGCAGAGAGCCGGTGAGCAAGCAGGAAGGGGCACCTCCTCCGCACTGGCACTCTTGTTAGGGCAGCACAAATGGCAGGGTGTGAAGGAGCCGGCTGCAGTGGGAAGGTCCCATGTGGCCCAAAACGTGCCTTGCAATCAAAACTTCACAGGTTCATTTTCTCTGTCAGCCTTCCCAACCAAGTGCCCTCCAGTTGATTCAGACTTCGGGTCCATTGGCTCTAGCCAGGGAATTATATGAAACAACTGGAGAGCTTCAAGTTGGGGAAGGCTATTTGTCTGAAACAAGGATGCACAAGTTGTAGTTCTCCAGATGTTGTGGCTTATAGCTCACATGATCCCTCATCTTTAGCTATGCTGACTAAGTCAGGTGCAAGCTGTAGGCCAGAAAGGTGGAGGGCAAAAGGTTCACCATCCTGCACTAAAATAAGAAAAAAACATTGTGTACTTGGACCTTCAAAAATTTTTTTGATCAGGTCCCTCACCAGAGTCTCCTGAAGCAATTTAATATCCTTGCAATAAAAGGCCAGTTTCTCATATAGATTGGTAACTAATTAAAGGACAAGAAGCACAGTGTATTAATAAAAGGGCAGTTTTTTCAAGGGGTGTGTGTGTGAAAAGTGGAGTCTCCAAAGATCTGTATTGGGACCATATTTTTAAGCTTGTTCATTTACAGACCAGAAACTGCTGGTTATTGGCTGATCTATATATGTAATGAATATATATATGTGTAATGAATAGCTAGACAGATGAATGGACAGATAGCTAGAAAGATAAAAATTAGAGTTAAGAGTGAGTGGTGAGGTTGCTAAATTTGCAAACAACACCACTGCCGTGAAGGCCTTTTCACCTAAACATGCCATAGTAAGCAACACTTGCATAGGAAAAAAGAAAGACCAGTTTTCAAGATTTGCTGAGATAATATCATTTGTTATTTGCTTTATGATATATGATATCCTGGTCCCTTTAAAAACAAGCTGTTTTATAATAATATAAAATAATACATTTTTATAAGAGCATGGCAATATTTAGGGAGTGATCCCATGGCCCCTAGATGCCTGAGAGGACCGTATGATACTTTGGATTCCTGGATCTAATCCGCACTCAGATCTCCCTTCCTCCGCTTGCAGTGGGCACGGAAGGAGCCATGTTGGCTGCTTCTTCAAAGTTGGATAAGTGAAGTCAGACGAGACTAGGGCCACTGAGATAAATGGTATTCCGGCTGCCAAAATCAGCCAGTTAGCTGCTTTGCGGAGCAGGAGGACGGAAGGCAGAAGCTGTTCCTGCTGCTTCCCCCACTCTGCACAGAACTTTTGTGCATTTCTGGGCCCTTGGACCAATTAATGGATGGGGAAGAGGGTAAGGAGTAAGAGTGCAATCCTACGTATATCTGTTTACACAAGGAAAAGGTTGACAGCTTCCATACTGGCTGCTGCATACTGAGAGTCATAGACCATTTTTCCCTTTGTGCTTTACGTTTTTAAATAATTGTTGAAAGCACACAACCACTGATGCCAAGGGGAAGTTTATTCCAGAAAGGAGGGAGCCACCACAGGGAAGGCCAGTGCCATCATACTGCCAAATGGGACTCTGCAGGATGTGGCACAGACAAGAAACAGCCTCCCCTGAAGACATTCCTGGCCAAAGGGGTCTATACCGGGAAGATGACCTTTCAAGTAACCTGGACCTAAGTCGGTTAGGCTCTAACGGCCTCCTTGTGGCCCCTCTTTCCCATCCATGCCATTGGTACATGCACTTGTCATTAAGCTTTAAGGAGCCTCTATCCCTTTGTTTTCTTTATGTTTCGAGACAGGTGGCCTGGCCAGTTTGCTTCTGGAAGAACAACAATGAGCTTTGTGGCATCTTAAAGACTAACAAATATGTTATGGTACAGTAAGCTGTCAGGGACTTTCAGTTTATAGGTGCATCCAAAGCCCTCAAATGTTTACAGAAACCTTCTCCAACTGGGTGCCCTCCAGATGGTGTAGACTCCAGTTGCTAGTATTCCTGCCCATTGGCCATGCCAGCTGGGTTGCCAGGAGTGGATGTGCAAAACGTACGATGGGCACCAAGCTGGGGGAACCTGGACCCTTGCACCAGAAGCACTTTGTCAGGCCTTAATATGCCACACGCTTCTCTGTGGTTTGCCTGCTTTCCAGGGGTCTCTTGCCAGAGCTATCCTGCCCCCTTGTGGCAGACATGCATCCAGTCCCATTCCTACTGCGCCCACGGACTTCCAAGCCAGGGTCATGTTGCCAATGACACAGCAGAAGTCCAGGGAAGGTGACCAAAGAGGACCACAGTAAATGAAATTGGCCAGTGTGGGACCGAGAGGAAAGGTTTCCTGAGCTACATTTAGAGGCAGAAGTGACTCAACACACTGGCCTATGATGCCTCTCTAGCCAGTATGATGTCATGCTATATTTAGATATGTGATGCTCAGGCGGACTCTTGCCACATGCAAAGTGCATGAGGAAAAAAGGGAAAGCGGAAACTTGTTTGGAACCCAAATAGGAGCATGCAGTCAGCATGACAGAAGAAAGACCGTATGATACATCTTTCGAAAATCACAGGCCTGTTGCTCAATGAGTACACAAGCTTTTAAGCTGCACAGAATTCTTCATCAAGGAGATCGGTCCTGGGTGCCACAGGTCCTTACTGACGCAAATATGTGTAACTTCCTGACAGAGGAAGTAGATTAAACCTTGGAATTTGCACCATATTGGCACAGAAGCTACGTATTTCCAAGACACTCACATAGGTTGACCAGCAGTGTGGTGCAGCCAGGTCCCACAGGGTCAAAGAACCATGGGTTTTCAGTTCGCAGGGACAACAACTGCATCTGGCCCCCTGCCCCCCACCAACTTCCCTGTCCCCCGCCTCCTGATTTTAGCTCCAATTCCCACAATAACTTACAAGGTGGAAGAGGAATAGATTTGCCCAACAATTATATATCGTAATATAAAGTAATCTGGAGCGGCTTGCTCTTGAAAAGGCAATTACAAACCAATAGCTTTACAGATAGCCTACTAAAGACATATATGTGCCAGCATTTGGCAGTTCCTTGTAGATAGGAAACATTGTCATAACCAGCGCCCACTCTTTGAAATTTACCAGTATATCTTCATGCCTATATGATAGTATCAAAATGCCACCAAACCTGTTGCAACTACTTCTGCAGTGCTCAGATAATACATGTAGGAGGCTGGTGTAGCTGTTTTGAAGTAAATGAGAAGGGCTGTCAGGGTTGGACTTTAGGGTGGATGTCCGAAGGCTCCCACTCAGCACAGAACTGGTAAAAAGGCACTGACATTTTGAATCAGCTCTTATTCAAGATGCCACCTAACCTCCCTTTCCAGAAGAACCCGTTGCTCAGACTATTACTCAAACCACCGAAGGAAGGAGTCAGTTCTGGCTACTAAAGCACCAAAGGGATGGCCAGAGGCAGTTCGTAGAGAAGAGCCCAAAAGACAGAAGGAAGAGTCCAATTTTGCAAACATCCCTATGAAATGAATTAGATGTGCTCGTGGTGGTTGGAGAAAGATGTCCCCATTTCCCTTCCCAATCCTCACTGTGCCCAAGGATCGCAGAGAAAAGAGATAAAACAGCGCCCTCTGGTGCCCAAAGCAAGGGACCCTGGTTTTCTGTTCCGAATAATCCAAGGTGACTCTAATATTACTCCTTAGGGTTAAAAACAGCCTATTGCACATAGGTTCTGGGACTACCATGCTTAAATTGGGCTCCAGATGTTGTTGATCCATTTTTGAAAGAAATAAGAGAATAGTAATTTAAATGGTATCACAAATGATAAGAAAAATGAAGATAGTAATGCATTTGTTCACCATCAGGTATTATATAAGCAATAAGGAAATGTTTAAAAAATCTAAGGGCACAATTCTATGTATGTTAAGACAGAAAACATCCTACAATTCCCAGCATGGTTCAGCCACCTATGGCTTTTTTCTGTCTAAACATGCATAGGATTGCACCCTAAATAACATTCCGAGCTCAAATCTCAACCACGTGTAAATGTGTGCATGTATATTTTGCAGTGCGTTGCTTGCACCTCTGTTTATAATCAACCATTTCCTCAATCTTTTGCAATTAACTTGCAAACAGTCCCCCTCTCTGTTTACAAACTGGAGAAACTGGTTCAAAAGTGTTGCTGAATTCTGCTCCTTCTTTAGCTTTGCCCCAGTATCGCATCCTCCTCTCCAGCTAAAGATTCTTGGAGCTCAACAAAGAGCCAGGGGGCTGGGAGGTGTATGCATCCGATGGGTTTCCCCCCAACACACTTCCACCGGGCTATTCTCTTTTGCTGCACCCTTTGCTTGTCTCTGACTATCTGTAGTTCTGTGGAACAGATGACGCGGCTGACCCAACTCTTGCTCATCATTTCTATTAGCCCGGGAGGAAAAGAGAACTGGAGATAAGTGATAACAATAATGCATAATGAGTATTATGCAATGGGGAGCAGTGTGGGCTTGGGGGCTAAGACAGCAAAAGAGGGGAGGAAGAAGTTGTGTGTTTTAGAGGCAATGTTTCAGATGTTAAAGGGTGGAGCCTCATTGTTCAGTGTAGAGCCCGGAATCCGTAGGACTGGGTGGTCCAATTTTTTGCATCTCAAGGACCACATGAGGACTTCGACACAGAACCCAGGGGCTGCACAATGAATTGCATTTCCAGCATGAACCTCAGGAAAAGAGTGACACAGGACAGCGTACGGTTGCTGTGAGGATAAAACAGTGGGGACATCCTTCAGGAGAGAAGGAGTCTATTCAGGATGGGACAGCACAAGCAGGGTTCTTGATTCCTGATCAAGATTTCTTCTCACCTCGCCCTGCCCTGGCAAAATGTTGTGGATAACGGCATTTTCAGTCAGGCCTTTCCCACATGTGTGTGATTTTCAAGGCCGCTTTGAACGTGCTGCTTCTCCAGCATCAAAGGCTGCAGCAAAAGAGGCTCTGTGGGTGGCGTGCATACATTATGTGCAAGAAGGCGGGTGTCACTTCTTAATGTCGTGCATATGTTCAGGAGACGTGACTGCACAAGACAGTTTGTTGTGTGGTCCCAGAGGGAGGCCTGCAGTGTGCACATACACTCCGGGTCACAGAAGATTATGTGGGGAGTGTGTCGTTAGAGGCCTGGGAAGGGGGTGAAAAATGTTTCTGGCCAGTTTTGCCTGAGGTAGCATGTTGCAGCTGGACAGACTACAGAGTTTAGCGCCATAGTGTGTGTTTGTGATGTCTTGCAAATATGGAGGCTGTTGCAATATACAGAGGGAGGCATACTTATTTAGTGGTGCAGGGAGAGGGTGCAGAGGCAGGGCAGAGACGCTCATGATCACCCTGTGCGGCTCTGGTTTTGGCGAGCCCTGCAGCGAGATGCTCCCCGTGGGTCCCTCCCTCAGTGGGTCCACCATCTCATCCCCACTGCTGCCGTGTCTCCTCATCCTCTTTCTCCTTACTGCTTCCACACCGATTGGCAGGTGGAACGAAAATGAGCAGACAGACAAGAGGTGGTGGCTTTCCGCCTCACCGCCAATGTTACCTGGGCCAGGGCAAGAGGCAGGGGAACAAAACAGGTTGTGGTTTTGGGAGAACGAGTCCAGGAGCTCTTGCCAGCAGGCCCCTGCTCAGGTGTGGGCCATTGGCAAAAGCCCAGCAAAGTCTACCCTTGGCACTGGGCTTGCATCTACCTATGTCCAGGTACCCAATGTCATTTTGACATTTGAGGCAGAAAATCCCCAAAGCACTTCTCCAAATCCATGGCAGTAACAAGATCATAGGAGCAAATTAAATAACAATTCAGCTCCCTTTCCTAACATGCGAAATCTGCTTACTCTGACAAATGCTGGGGCCAGGCCTGCATAGAAGTTGTGAAGATAATGATGTGTAAATGTTCAAATGTACACACACATACACACATCCCTTGTCATTGCATAAGGGGTGGGAAGCAGCTGCAAATGGCAGGGTATTGACAGGAAAGGGAATGGCGCCTTTAAGAAACTTTGGCCTGAGTCAAGGTGATGAGATGATAAACAAATAAAATTATACAGCAGGTTAATTGCCCCACAGTTTTTAGGCCAGGTATGAAAAGGTAGATTATTATCTGGTATTACCAAAACAATGAAAACGGCATATATTCAAAAGGACTCAATGTAGGGAAAAGGTAAAAGGAATCAAGCATGCCAGAAACAAGGCAGGAAATTATCTCCTCCCTCTGCCCCGCCCTGCTGCCGCCACCCCAGTCCTGATTAAACCATTTCCAGGTTTCGCAATTTTGCATAGTGGGACTCACCTCCTCCTGATGGAGCCCCATTCCCGAAAATCACCCTCTGTGGTGTGATTGATGGCTTGGACAGAAGGGTGATCCGCCTTAGAGTTTCCAGCCAGGAGCAACTATTCTCAATATTTGAGATTATTCCTGCAATTTTTATCATGACAGTCCTGATGTCCAGGTGTTTGTGTAAACTAGATTCAAACATCCAGGTTCCGTGCATTCAGTGCGCCTTTGGTTGTAGTGGTAGTTTGGTTGTAGTGGCAGATGGGCACCATCCAGGTGCCCACTGCTGAACCCTTGGATGCTTGGCCCTCTCACGTTATGCTGGGAGACCCAGCCTCTCTCTCTTGAAGAGACACAGGAACCCTGCGGGTCTACACAAGCCCAGACAGAGGCTGCAGGACACAGCTGTTTCGTCACTCTTCTGTTGCTTCCTCCACCACTTGGACAAAACCTCGTCTTCTGCTTAGGTCCTCTCCTTGAACGGGCACAGTTCCTCAAAAGCCCCTTTCTAAACAATCCCCTCTTCCCTTTGCTCATAGAGACTCAGGAATTTCAACACACCCAATTTCAGCTCGAGGACAGGGCCACACAGTCTTTGACATCCTGTTCTATTTTCAGAAGAGTCTTCTGCACCTTGTAGACTCTTCCCCACAACTGCTTTTCTATAGGGTGTGTGGGTACATGTAAAACCTGACCTAGTTTTACAGCTGGATTCGGGCAGGGCCCCAAACACTTCTTGCAGTGGTGTTCCGGGGTCAAGGACCACAGCCAAAATACCTGTTTTCCTGGCTTGCCTTAGCACAGTCCATCCAGGTTCTTCAGAGGATCTGCACTGGCACACAGTGCCAAGTAATGCCTAAAAGGGGGGAAGAGGAACACAGCAGGCACACAAAGTGCTGCAAATAATAGCAGGCATGTTTCCAGCTCTCAAGAACCTCCTTCCCATCTTCGCTATTGTGGCCATGCATTCAGCCTAGCCTGAGTGCACCGCCTCTCGCCAGCAAAGGCTTCCTTCCCCACTCGCTAACATGCAACCAAAGCCTTTCTTTTTCTTTCCGAAGCATGTCAGAGACTCCCATTTACTGAATCTCCACCTCTTTGACCTCTCATTTCTCATAGATCAGTATGTTCTTGTTTTTATTCTTTACTGGCTGATAGCTGAAGCCGCCTGCAAATACAGAAGGGAATCCTCTGCTCAAATGCTAGCTAATATGGATTAAAGATTCCAAGTCTTGCCGTGTTTAGAGCCAAAATTCTTTTTCTGGTTCTCTCTTACACTCACGGATACATACATATGCACAGACTTTCTTTCATTGAACATGCAGATTTTAATGACACAGCTCTCTATTCCACCAGTAATCATTTTTTTTCCAGAAAATGCTAGGCTGTGCTACCTGGCCTTCCTCTCTTTGTGGCAAGAAAAATTTTCCGGCCCCCAGGAATCTTTACATTTTTGCTCTGTTCTGCCCCAGCTTCAGCGTACTTATTTTCTTCCCTGTGGTCAAAAGAACCTTAGAATAGTGCCCACCTCTATAAGTACAAAGAACCAGCTGTGTTCCTTCAATCAGTCCCTGCTTCCCACATTCCATTACAATTATAGCTGGTCTTATCAGGGTTTTTAGAATAAGAGCTCCCAAAACTATAGAAACAATATTCCTCTGAGATGCAAGAGTTTTATCTCATACAGATATTTCAGAGACTCACATCAAGATAATGCAAGTGGAACGGTCTGAACACTTTAAAATCATGCTTGTTTATTTTATTTTATTTATGTTTCCCTCAGCAACTGTCTTAGGAACCACCCAGAGAGTTTTGCCTATTGGGGGGTGCAGAAATTAAACAAATAAGCAATCTGCCTTTGGTTCTCATTCAATTGTTGCCTAGTGGTAGCCGTTCCATCAGGCCACCTGAAGTGTTCCCATTCCAGCTGGACATTATAACAAATTTGAAAAGTGAAGAATTCGTGCCAGTTTGCTCTCCTCCCCCCTCTTCTTTTCCTTTGTCTTTTAGGTTGTAATCCAGAGGGCCAGGTGTTTGTTTTATTGATCAGTACGCAATCTTGGGAGCCTTTTTGGCTGCAGAAGGGGATAAAAGTACTTATCAAGCAAATAGGTGCTCTCTAAATGCTAAGCGCTGATCATTATAACTTTTCTGTCTGTACAAGACAATTGGGGTATATACTCTGCCTTCCTCTTGGACTCTTTCCTTGATCTTTCCTTTAAAATGCTCCTTAAGCGAGAACTCGGGTATTCTGTTTTGCCCTTACTCCACAGTCTCTTAGGAAATGAGTGGATGAATTGTAGCATTCCAGAAATACTGGCTTAGAATTCCCATCAGCCCCAGCCTGTGGTGAGGGATGTTGGGAGTTGTACACTGGTGCATTTGGAGAATTATGTATTACCCAACCCTGTCTTAGGCTCTTGACCTGGAATCCTTGTCTCTAATCGGATGTATATTCCATAACTCAACTCCATTATGACGTCATTTGCTACAGAACCATGAAATATCCCATTTCCCATGGCTGACACTCAGCCATGCTTCCTGCAAGCCTTTCTTTGCTGCTGCTGCTGCTGCTGCTGCTTCTGACCTGGTTTCCCACAAGCTTCTGGGGTTGCCTGCAGTGCGACCAAAAATTCAAGCAGAACGTAGCTAAGCTCCGGACTACAGTTGTGCCACGCCAGATCCATGACACACGCCTCAAGGCACGGGCCGAAGCACTCCTCAGAGGCCTCGAGGGGAATTTTTTCCTGCATTATGCCACTAGCCAGTTCTCTGGCCTTGCAGGTATAACCCTGGGCCTGTTTCAAGAGGGGACAGATGAGCACTCAGGCCCTTTCCTACTGGTGGTTTGTCAGGACAAAGAACGCACAGGCTTTGCTTGAAGAGTAGGAGCAATCCAGGCTTCTCTTCACCCGTTCCATCTTTTTCCCTGCTAGCAGATGAACTGCAACTTGTGAGTTGCAGCATGAAATGTAGCTGTGTAAGGGCTGCACACAGAGCTAGTGCCCACGCTATCGGTGGCAATGAACAACACTCCTTCCTTCCCTATGCCCACACTATGCAAGGAAATTCCAAAAAGGATTCCTTCAACACATTTTTCCCCTGCTCGGTCTTGCAGAGTTGAACTGCACTCTCCTCTCCTAGACAACGTCACTGCATGAGTCAGAGGAGGCTGCATATTTGGGCCAAAGGAAGCAGCGACTTCTTGGTCTCCCATCGTCTTGTGTCAGAGAAATCCCCCACAAACAGGCGTTGTGCAGGAACCAGATGACATGCACGGTCTACTGTCTTCCACCAGCAATTTCAGTCGGCCTTCCTCTCCATCCCACCAGCTGCCACTGGAAGAAAGACTTTCACACAACTTCTCTTGAAAAAGGAAAACTGTATGCTTGATCATGCCAGCATGGGGGAAGAAAACCTTCGATTTGGCCCCAGTACCATGGTGGGATGAATGGGCTCTCCCAAAGGTTGCAAGGAAAAGGTGGGCTTTGAGGAGGAGGGAGGAGGAAACTTGGCACCATGTAGGTATTCTGGAAGACAACGCCAGCCATAAGGAACAGCAAGCAAAAAGGCCAATGTTACTAGAGCAGGAGGCTTTTGGATGGCTCAGAGCAGAGCAGCTGGAAAGTGCGAATACCAAACCACTTTAGGCTACAGCAGATTCCCCCAACCCAGAGCCCCTGAGCATGGCCAGTTAGTCCAACACATAAGGAAGTCATCAAATTGGGGAAGGCTGGGCTCTAAGGTAGCACTCGTTTGGGTTTTGTGCTGCTTCTTAAATGCACGCTTCTCTTGCAATCGCCCAGGGTTGCTCTGCTCGTTGCAGTTGTGGGCTACACTCAGTCTTTCCCTGGCCCCTCTGCAGGTAACAGGTGCAAGGTCTGTGCAGGTTCAGGCTAGGACAGCGGCTTGTCGTTCTCTCCTTCCCAGTTAAAAGCAAAGTCGATGCCCTGATCCACGAGGTGAGGCTCAGCACGGAGCGTCTCCTTCAAACCAGTCTTTCAGGTGAGGATCCAAACACTGCCTTCCCTCAAACTGAGTGCCTTGGAACCGAGTCTGCAGTTCCCTGGGCTGCTGCAACCAATTTGCTTCACTCATTCATAAAAACATAGGAACAGAGCGAGTCAGAAGGGGTCTCCCGGGCCATCTAGTCTGACCTCCGGCACCAGCCGGCTCCGCTCACATGCCCACCATTCCTCCCACCCAATATGCCCTTTACCAGAAAAAAGCTCCTGGGTATTTAATGAGGAGTCTTGTGAGGGGTGCACATCCGCCACATTCACCCACCCCGCAAAGTGTATCTTCTTGATCTCTTCACAGACCAGGCTCTGCTGGAAGAACTGGTTGCATTCCGGAGGAAAGCCACCATGAAGCTTAAGCAGGCATTAAAGGAGCACCAGACACATGGTACTGGATCCTCCCCCATCCCATCCCATCCCATCCCACCCCACCCGGCTAGGCATGGTCCAGCAGGGGCCCGCTGACAACACCCCATGGAGAGGCTCCTCCTCTTCCCCACGGCAGCCTGCGTGCCCTCCTGCCTCTTGCTCTGGCCCTCATGCCAATGGTGAGAAGGGGGATGGCAGACGCTGAGGCCACAGATCCCTGCCCTGTGCTGGTGAAGCCAGCAAGTTATAGCACTGAGGAGGAAGAGGAGCAGCAGCAGCTGCGAACCATGGCAGGGAAAAGGTGGACTCACGGGGCGAGGAGCCCCTTGCCGGGCTTTGTCACACACCTGACGCCAGCACTGCTTGTATTTTTCCCCACACTTCCCAGATTGGCAAATCAGTTTTGGGATCATTTCTCAGATTTTGAGGTCTTGTCTATTCCTCAGCCACCTTGTTTCCATGACAAGTGTTAATCTTAGTAGAATCACTAGAATTACTGTGCACAACCTACCTATTAAGCCGCAGTCAATCAGTCAAGCTTACTGACAGTTGTTATTTAGTATTAGCAATATTATTAAGAATAAATCTGGTGTCATTCAGGCTGGATACATGAGAGGTTCCAGGTATATAAAAGAAAGAATTTCACACAATACGATATGACCATATGGAATTATTTGCTACAAGGGCTCTACTATGGTTATTGTGGCATAGAATCAAGTGACGCAGCTCCTCCTGGACTGCACCACTTGAGGATGGAGGTGGAGTTGTAACTCTGAATGTGCCTGTTGAAGAAAAGGAACTTCAGCCTGCATTTAGGGTCTTCCAAGTAAGTTTCATAAAGTACCCAGACAGGCAATTGCAGAAGTTGAAGTTGTCAAAGTATCCTTGAAAGCAACCAGTGTCTTCATCCACAAAGAAAAGCCCCCTGCTTATACATAATTTCTTGGTTAAACTCAAAGAAATAGAAGCCTATCTAATTACTATGAAATGCAAAATAGACCAGTCACAGATGCACCAATTAACAAATACTTATCTGCTTGCTTTGATGCTGATTGACACAGGCTCAGACTCCCAACTTTGCATCAAAACAAAATGTACGTTATAATAGACCGGGAGTACATCACAGAGAGGATGTGATGTGATTTAATACAGCCTGAGTCTTCCCAAGGATGTGTGTGAACTGCCTTCCCAGCACATAAACACCAGCATAAACTTGCTTTCCCACCAGGCTTAGTTGACTAGAAATTATTCAAAGCCTGAACATGGAATGAGTTTCCCAAAGAGGTGTGTCTGGCACCTACTTCATATGGCATCAGTTGAAGACCTTTTTATTTCCCAGTATTTTAGTATTGGAACTTTTAAAATTTGTTTTTATATATTCCATTTTATTCTGCACCAGTGCTATGCTTCTTTGCAGAATCATAGCGACGACAGTTGCTATTATGGTTTTGTTCTTTTAAATGGTGCATGTGTGTCTTTTACACTTTTGTCTAATTTTAACTTCTAATAACTGCCTCAGCCTTTGGGCAGTATAAAAACGAAACAGATAAACAAACAACTTCTACTTCTAGATCCCCATAGAGGAAAGCCCTTTTCACATATAAAGCTTGGCTATCAAGGTAAAGGCTAAGCTTTCTTCTGATGCCAGGAGGCAAATGTTCTTTGGGAAGGAACATTCAGATACAAATTCTCTGCCCACAACTCCCACACCAGCATTCTGGAGCTGAATGCTTCAGGAAAAGATTTCTCATCTACTTCTGCAGCTTGTGTAAACTAGAATATTTCAGTGCTGGAACAGAAGGGGACTGTGAATGGTTCTGTTGCAGAGGTGAAAACAAATTAGCAGATAGCAGAACATTTGGGGCATGCCTGTACACTCAGTTTTGGACTTTCTCTTTCCTCACAGCTTGTGATGAAGAAGGCTGTGGTGAGTTAATCTAAATGTGCTGTTGAATATTAGAGGAGGGGAGTCAGGAAGATGAAAACCATTATGATTCTGTGGAGAAAGCACAGATGTGGCTTAGGATGCGGCTTAGGAGCAGCTCCGGGGTGGCTTCCAGAGGTTCCAGGGAACAAAGAGAAGGGAGATAAAGTGTGTCTTCCATGCAGGAAGAAATGGGGCTTTGGAGAGACTGTCACTGCTAACATGGTTTTTAAAAGCACATTTACTGTAATGTTAACATAATGAGTACCAGGAGGAGGAATGGAAGACGGTGCTCACCAGGGCCTGCTTACCATCTGTAGCCCCGTATTGCCTAAGAAGAGTCCACTCTTCCTAGATTCAAGCATGTTGTCTCTCTCTGCAGCAAGGAGCAGAGGTTGAGCTTGGGGGTGAACTTGGCAGGTTTCGCTCAGAGATGTTCAAACCCTTCCTCGGGCCTGACTCTGGGGGTATTAAAAGCATTGCTCTTGTTTGGCATGTTATTCACACTTTCTCCCTCTCTCCCTCACTCCTGCAGCCTGGCTGAGATATAAAGCATTTAACTGCAAAGGATGCCAAGAGACAGCAGCTGTTTGCTTGACGCTAAGTCAGTGCTTTGGTAGGTAGAAGCGCTGGGGAGATTTAATGGCGGGTGGGCAGTGGGTGTGTGCAGGGCAGATGTGACACGTTTTTTCAGTGGGGGAAGGAGGCTGATTTGCCAGACTGAGTTCCTGCCAAGGCTTCCAGGGTGGGGACAACTTGTGCCACCCCTGATGATTTGGCCTATAACTCCCATCCGTATAGCACATGATGAAAGACATGGGAGCTGTAGACCAAAACATCTGTAGAGACTCACACGACCCACATATGTCTGTGGGTTGCCTGCCTTTGATGCAGAGGAATGAGAAAGCTGGGCAGGATGGCTTTAGTAAGCGTGACGAAGTACCACCTGATCTGAGGAGCCCATGGTTACCAGGAAGCTGTCTCAAGGAGATGGTTGGTGTCCCTGTAGTCGCTCTTTCTGGCTAGTGATCCCAGCTCCAGCTCTGATCCCAGCTCTGAATCCAGAGAGGAGGGTTGAGAGCAGAGCTCAGCCGACCCTCCAATCAAGTTGTTTGAAAGACCACCTGTGCCTCTGTCAACCTGCCCAGGACCTAAACTCGGCAGCAGAAGCTCTGCTCCCATCCCACCAATAAATCCACCAGCTTGGTGACCCTTTTATGTGATCTTGACAAGATGCCCTTCCACTGGGGGGATGCCCAGCTCCTTTCCTGACTATATTTCAATGTACCATGAGGTGCTAGAAGTTGTGGTTCACTTTTAAGGGATGCTAGTCTACAATTTCTAATGCATATCTTATGGTTTTAACTGTCTGATTTTAAAACTTTTTTGTGTTGTGTTGAGAAGAGATTTTTAATGTAGCTTAATTAGTTAACTCTTTGCGTGATGGTGTGCAACTGTTACATTTCTCGTAAGTTTGTAAACTACTTTGAGAAAGCTTTGCCCATAAAGGCAGGAGATAAATAAGTTAAATAATAATTAAATACCAAATAGATTTCAAGTTGGGGAGGGTTTATGTCCACCAGAGGGCAGCACTTACTCATATGTATCAAACAATGGTTCACAAAAGCTATAGCAAGCTACAGAAGCACACAGCTTAACAAAATTATGGCAGGAAGGGAGTTTTGAGCCCCATGCACTCAAATGTGTGCCTCAACCACAGTAAAAAGCTTTAGTTCCTAGTGACTGAAGGACAAGGGGATTCATGATCCTAAATATTCACATATATAGAACTTTTGAATGCACAGATCACTCCACAAGGTATCTCAGAAGGTTTTACCACTGCCCTCTAAGGGTGGTCGCTGTAATTATCTCCTGTCATGAGATGGAAGGTTGATCTAAGAAATGATCTCTGTGGGAAATGATTCCCTTGTAACACTCCACTCTTGCAGGTGACAGGAGAATCAGAATGAGGCTGTAGAATCCAAAGAACATGTGCAGTTTGTTCCAACATTCAGGAAATCCATGTGGCATGTAGGGAGCCCCCAGAGGGACTGCCAAGATGGAGTCTGTACAAGATGCTTTTATAACCTATTAGTTACTTGTGCCATTTGGAGCAGGGTGGGGAATCACATAGGCCGTTTGCTATACGGACATGAGAGTAAAGCAATTGGGTTAAGACACACAACCTGAAAAGAAGAACCTTTAGGACAGGCAAAGCATTAGAGCATATCTAACAGGGTACTGAGCAAAGCAGGCAAACGTTCCTGTTTCTGAGGCGTACCTGGGGAACAAGACGTGCAGCATGGTGTCCTGATCAGATCAGAAATCCCATCTATCTAAGGGGGTTCTTTCAGTGCAGCCAAATTATGGCAGAGCTTTAGCTCATTTTGTCCTGATACAGGAGTGGGGCTGACAGACCTGGCAACACCTACCCAGCACATTCCAGGCTGAGGGAGGGTTTGACCTGGGGGCTTCTTGTTCACAGCCACCTCTTTCAGTCATTATGGCAGCCTAGCACTTGTTGCTTGACCCCAGTTGTAGCCGTATTTGTCTGTGCCAGGGCTAAGCACGAGTCCTAGGCCCTTATGGAGGGCTGCCTTCCATTCTGAGAATCATGAATGGGGATGGAGAAGGGGGAGAGCCTTCCCCAACCTGGTGCCCTCCAGTTGAGTTGGACTGCGACTTCCAGAATTGCCCAGCCAACTGGTCGGAGTATTTGGGAGCCTGCCATCCAATCTACCTGGAGGCCCCAGGCTAGGGAGGGGCAGGGATTCCAGCTGGAGAAGAGAAAGGACTACATTTTGTGGGCAGAAATTGTCTTCAAAAACCAAATTTGAGATCTCTGCCTGCAGTTGATGCCCAGGAGCGCCTGTCACTTCGCTTTGGGAAGCCCTTGAAGGATCCTGATATCGCCCGAACTGGACTCGCCGTTGTCCTATGGATGGGTGCACTGCTATTTGTGGTGATAATCGGCGTGTGAGTATCACAAAGAGACCTTCGTTGCATCAGCTGTAACCCGCACCCCAGAACAGGGCGTGCCTTGCCAGGGACCTGCCTGCCTATTAAGATTTGCACGAGAGACCCTTCTGAGGGTGCCATGACCTGCCTGGCCTCGTGTGTTCCTTGAAGAGCTACAGGCCATCCTCATCTTCTAGGCCGGTGGTGGCGAACCAATGGCACCCATGCCACAGTGGGCACACAGAGCCCTCTTTGTCAGCATACGAGCCAAGGTGCCCCAGCATCGCCCCAGCAGCCGAGCATCAGATAACAGCGCACATAGGGGCAATGCGCATGCTCAGAAAGGAGTAGTGGCGCCAGGCAATGACGTCACAAGCCACTTTTCAGTTTTTATTGCAGTGTTGGCTCTTTGCAATAAATAAGTGGGTTTTGGGTTGCAGTTTGGGCACTCAGTCTCTAAACGGTTCACCATCACTGGGCTAGGGTTAGAAAAACTAGGTGTCCTGGCATGATTTTGATGGTTGGAATGTGTTTAGAATGGGCAGAAATGTTGAGCTGTGCAGAAAAAGCTACTCAAGGAAGGCTTTTTCAAAATCGCCCTCCTTTCAATGGAACTTTAGCCCTGTATTAGGGTTAGGGGTGTGCACCAGGGTAGGGTTAGGGTTAGAA